TTAACGGTTGAAATATTTGAATTTTGCACTTAGGGAACCGATTCCCTATGAGGGGAACCGATTCCCCCCACGCTCCAAGCTGATTTATTAAATGATTTCACACTAAAACGGCTCTATTATCTCCACTAATCATCCCCAACGTTTAAAAGTGATTCAAGGTGTATTTAAACAAGTTCTGAAGCCTTTGATCAACAATAAATCATAGAGAAACAAGAGAGAAAGCATCAAACACCAAGTTTGTGCAATCAAGCCAATTTTCCTTTCAATATTCATTTTGCTTTCAAGAACACCATTTGTGCTCGTTTGTAATTATTTTTAGTGTTTTTTTCTTGTTCTAGAATTGTGCAAACATCTTACCTTGTGAGGTTTTCCTTGGAAGTTTGCAAATTTGTGTATTTCTCTTTGAAAAAGAGTGTGCTCAAGAATTTGGGGTATAATTCTTGAGGGAGTTGTAAGGTTACTCTTTTCCTCAAAAGAAAGAACAAATTAGTGAATTTGTTGGAAAATCCTTAGTGTGGATAGCTAAGGTAGTGGACGTATACTTTGGTTGAGAAATTCAAACCACTCTAAATCGCTGTGCAATTACTTTCAATTTTCTGCAAAAGCTTCCACCAAAATTTTAATTGCCAATTCACCCCCTCTTGGTCGATTCCGTCAATCGATTAACTCAACAATAAATCTTCCCGAATCAACTCAAGAGGTGATTAAGCCTTCAAATGAGTGAGGCTCTGATATCAATTGTTGAGTTAATCGATCGACAAATAGCCAAGAGAGGGTGAATTGACAATTAAAATTTTGGTAGAAGCTTTTGCAAAAAATAGAAAATATTTGCGCAGCAATTTAGAGTGGTTCGACTTTCTTAACCCAAGTCTACGTCCACTACCTTAGCTATCTACACTAATGATTTTCCAACAAATTCACTAATTTGTTCTTTCTTTTGAGGATAAAGAGTAACCTTACAACTTCCTCAAGAATTATACCCCAAATTCTTGAGAACACTCTCTCCCAAAGAGAAATACACAAATTTGCAAACTTACAAAAAAACCTCACAAGGCAAGATGTTTGCACAATTCTAGAACAAAGAGAGAACACTAAAAAATGAATATAATTGAGCACAACAAGTGTTCTTAAAAGAAAAATGAATATTGAATGAAAATTTGGCTTGAAATGCTCAAACTTGAGGTTTGATACTTTCTCTTTGATTCTCTGGCTTCTCTTCTTAATTCTTGTTGATCAATGGCTCCTAAGCTTGTTTAAATACACCTTGAATCACTTCTGAACATTGGGGATCATTGGTGAAGTCAATAGAGTCGTTATTGTGTAATTATCATTTAAAAATCTGGTTGGGAGTGTGTGTGCATCGGTATACCATCAAGGTGGATCGATACACTGTGTAAAATTCAAATATTTCGATCGTTATAAGACTTAGTGCATCGTTACACAAAATGCATTCGATGTTTCAATAAATTCAAGAGTGCATTGATGCATGGCTGTACATCGGTACATGAAATGCATTCGAAATAGGGTGTGCATCGATACATCAAATAGTGCATCGTTACATCCCTTTGAAAATTTAATTTTTGGCTCGATTTTGGTTCGAAATACTTTGTAAAATTGTTTAAAAAATAATTTAAGTTTAAAACACAATTTTACACTTTAGTAAGGATTGAAATTGATCTTTGAAAAACTTGGAGTAATATTTTGAAATTTGAATAATTGAATAGAATATACTTTGAAAAAGATTGTAAAATCTTAAAATTCATTTATACTTAATTTTTTATATCGAAACATCAAAATGTTTTCAACATGCTTTTATCAGTTCAATTAGAATAATTGAAAATTGAACTACTGATGCACAATAACGCACAAGACCAAAAAATAAACTAGAATAATATGATAAAATAATCATAGTGAATAAGTAAATGATATATACATGCATTTCACTACAATATTTGCTAATTTACTTGACTTAAAATCCTGATTCACATATGTTATTTGTAGGGAGAGAATTAAATATAATACAAAGTGCACATGAAGCAACATTTATATATGTACACATGAAATAATAGTAATTACTCTTATTTTTATTCAATTGGTCATTCTTTTAAGTATCAAATATAATAGACTGTATGTATATAATTATTTTTTCCAAATATTTTTATGAACATATAGAAATCTTTATTATATTTTAGTAATTTAAATAATCTTTCATGTTGTTATTTTTTTCTTGTCATTATTAACGTTTTGTTTTATTTTTTTAGGTTTTGCAGGTGATTTAACATTTTTAGGAGAGGTATTTTAGTTGTGTTTACTATTTTGTTTTATTGTTTTGGTTGTTCGCTACGTGACAATCATGTTTTGTTGAGTTGTTGTCATTTGTTGCTCGTGTGCTTGCTTCTAATTGAGGTGATGTAACTTTGGTTTTCCATTATTGTAGGATTTCGTTCTTTTATTGATTTTACTGGGATTGACTCGTCTACTACAATAACCTATTCATTTTGATTTGATTGTTCCATTTTATTTTTGAGTATGTTTTAAGATGTGATAGGTTGGTGGATATATTAAGATGAAAATGTTTATGAATGTTTCTAATATTGCTAGTATATTTTAATATTATATTTTGTTGTTGTGGATGTTATATAAGTTTTATTAGGTGATTTGTTTAATTTGTTCTTTTCTGTTTATTTGGCAACATTTTTTAACATATATAAAAACATGTTTGTAGAGGCTAAACAAACATGTTTGTAAATGTTAAATGAACATGTTCATGAACGCTAATCGAACATGTTTGCAAACATTTAAACGAACACATTCACGAATATTAAACGAATACGTTCGTGGAAATTAAATGAACGAACACGAACATCTTCAAAAATAAATAAAAGAAAACAAATACAACCTTATTCGTTCAAACTCATTTCATTTACACCCCTAAACACAACATTCCTGACTTTCCATCAAATTACAATACTCTTTATATCTATCAGACAATTACCACACACACTTTTTAGAGAGAGAATAGATTACTACTCCAAGTTTACGCATGATATTTTGTGTATTTGTAGTTGATTACCTTATTGATCATCCATATTTAGACGTTTAAATGAATCAATATCGAACGAATAAGGTTGCGTTTGTATTCATTTGTTTATTTTTAAAGGGTTCATTTTCAATGTTGTGTTTGTTTAAATTTTTAATATCATACTTGTGTTTGGTTTGTGCTCATTTAAAATTTTAATATTATGTTTGTTTGTTTATTTTTGAAGATATTCGTATTTGTTAGTTTAGTCGTTCGCAAACATGATTGTTTAGCATTCATGAACATGTTTGTTTAGTGTTTGCGAATATGTTCTTTTACAAGCTAAAAATGATTAAATTACACCATTGGTGCTTAAATTCCTTAAGCTTCATAGTTTAAACTCCAATTCTCATCATGTGTTCAATTTAGTCCATACACTCAACAATATTTAAAATGTAAAAAAAAGTAAATGAGTTTATAAACGAGACATTAAATGGGCTTGTTCATGAACATAAAGAATGAGTCGAATAATGAGCTTATAAATGGGCTCATAAACGAGCTTGTTTGTGAGCATAAATGATCCAAAACACATATGTTTGTGTTCGTTCATTTATTAAATGAAGATCAAAATTTTATTCATACTTGCTTATTTAGCTTAATAGACAAACATAAATGAATGTTATACGAGCGATTCGCAAACAGTTCACCAAACACTATATTCATTTACACATAGACAAGGATGTACGCAAGGGGGCGGGCAGTTGTCCCCCTAAAAATTTCAAATTTTAATATATTCTATATATATTTTTGTTTATTTTCTATTAATAATATGTTTTTCCCTCCCTAAAATTTTTATAAGTATGTCCCTCCTAAAATTTTATAAGTTTACTCCCTAACATAAAATCATGTATTCGTCCATTGGCTATGGACAGGACGGACGTGAGATTTTATGCTATGGGCGAACTTATAAAATTTTAGAGGATAGCAAAGTTATAAAATTTAAGAAAACGAAAATATATTACTAATCGAAAATACACGTGAAAATTTAAAATATAGGAGAAGTTTTAAAATTTCGTAAGAACGACTGCCTTCAACTACCCTCGATCTATCCTATGGACCACATTGCTGTAGTTTGGGCTTGCCGTGAATATGGTGTAAATATTAGAAATTGTATGTATATATTAGGTTAGATTTTTATTTTTTCTTCATGAATTTGTTGTAAAGTGTAGAACTCGTTATCTTAAATTCTATATTTTTACGTTTATTTGCAGGATGTGAATGGCCCATAATAAATGGCAAAGAGCGACGACCAAACTCCGCCGAGAAAACGTCTGGGCTTACTTACAAGACCCTCGTCAAGGTATAAGGTTATTCATCAAATCCCAAAATAGCAAGAGCCAATCCCAAACTCCCGTGGTGCATGTACTATGTCGTAGTATTCGAGTTAAAATTATTAATAAATGAAAATTCGTAAGTATTATAATAATATAAAAATAATAGTTCAAATATCACATTTGATATTTTATAAAATACAAATACTCACGATAGACATTTAAAAATGATTTACGACGTTCGATAAGAATCGTTGAGCACCATTAACGATAATTATTGTTAATTTAATTTATAAAAATTTAAAATTCTAAAAGACTCGACGTATAATTATAAATTAATTAAAAATATAAAGATAAATTATTTAAAATAAAACATTAATTACGTTATTTTTCATAATCTTTTTTATGTAAATTATACCACTGACCATCTAACCTATTGTGCTTTTCAGTTTGATCACCATTTTTAAAATTTTGTCATCACATCATTCAACTATTTAAATACATTTAATTAACATTTAACATAAGTATTGATGTGACAGTTAATAAAATTAATATAATTATATATTTGATTCTCAGAATTTATAAATTTATTAATTCGGTCATAATTTTAATTCAAATTCAATTAGGTAGAGACACGTGTCATTATCAGATTGGAGAATATTTTATTAATATAATATTTGGAGATTAAATTATGAAATTACATGTATGATAATAGATCTTTGTTCAAAGTACAGTTACCAAAGTAGGAAAAGGGGGGGGGAGACAATTTTTAAAGTTATGGTAGTAAGAATCAGAAAAAATAGTAGACAAGCAGATAGAGCATCAGGCACGCCGCTGGTTCAATATTTGAGGGCACTTGTCATGATAATACTGTCACACCCGTATAATGCCAGCACGTTCGAGTTTAAGGCTCCAAGGACGTGACAATAGCAATAAACTATTTAAAACCATAAATTATGAAATCGGTGGCCACAGAATCAGAATACCAATACTAAACTTACTTTTATATCATTTTATTTTATTATTGTGAACACCTGTTTTTGAACGGTCTAAAAATATTAATATATTATGTTATTATTATTATTATTATTATTTTTACTTATAATATGTGTTTATTTTTGTAGGCCACTTACCCTAAACCACATAAATCCACCGAAAGTAATCAAATTTCCAAGTTAAAAACAAACATTACCTACTCCAACCAAATAAACATCTCATTATTCACACCTAATAAAGCAACAAAGGAAGAAAATTGGAGAGAAGACAAAAGGAGCTATTCGGTGATAAAAGGAACATTCAACCAGAGGAAGAGGGGGGCTTCGAACAAGGGGGCGACCATTTGAAAGGGAAATCTCTCCCATTTTTATTTTCAACAGAAGCAATGTAAAGCTTCTTCCCCGTTTTTAGAACATTTAACGTTAGCAAAGTAATGGGGATTTTCCCTACTGTTTTCGAAGCAATGCAAAGATATGTCTATGTTCATCTTTCTTTCCCATTCGATTAAAATAAAAAAGCAACAAATTCCATATTTTAATACTAAAATAGAGTTAAGAGAGAGACGTTCGTTTTACCTTGGTGGTTCATCGTGACTGTTCGGAGCTTATTTTCAACGATCAATAAGAACATTCAAACCAAAAACACAACAACAAGGAGAGTAAACCGAGAGCTTTTTCGAAAGCAGAAAAAAAAACCCGAAAAGATAAATCAAAACCTAAACAAAACTTACCCTTTTCCTCGGAGGAGACCGTCGTTTTGCTTCGCCATAGCTAAGGGGATTTTTCCGCATCCATTGAAGGTAAGACCTCGATTCTTATATATAAGGTTAGGGTCTATTTCGAATTTTGATTTGAGGCACTATTTTTTCATGGTTTTGAGGCTTTAGTTTGAGCATGGTTTCGTTTGATTCTCGAAAGGTCTAGGTCTCAGGTTTAGGGTTAGATAAAAAAGGAGCGTGGCCACCACGATACGGTGGTCGGTCCGGTGTTTTGGTTTAGGCCATGGAGGATTTTGGTCTCTGGTTCGGGTACCATCAAAGAAGAAGATAAGGGGAGAAGAGTGTAAAACGGCGTTGGGAGGGAGAATAAGTTTAGGATGAATGATATTTTGTTTTTAGGTCAAATGATAGGTTTTAATTAATTTGGATAAAACGACAGTGTTTAGGGCTAGAGTAGGGTGTGGGGTTTAATCACGTAAGAATCCTTTTAATTTGAAGTTATTGTGATTCGGTCCTTGCTTTGAAGTTCTGTAATTTTTAATTTGGTTCTTAATTTTAGGCGCATTCCATTTCGGTCCCCAGTGCCTGTTATTTATGTTGTTTCAAGTATTTGATCTTTAAGTTTCGTATTTTCTATTTTAGTTCTAAATAATAGTATATTTAATTTTTGATGTTTTTAGACATTCGACTTTTAAATTGTTGCATGTTTCTTTTTAGTCCAACTTATGTGTTTAGAGTTTATTTTCAATATTAATCCTTTATGATGATGATTTGTTTTATTTCAGTCACATTGTTTATTATAGTATAACATTAGTATTTTACCATATTTTTATTTTATTTATAATTAAGGTGCTCAAGTTTCTGTCCAATAATATTTAGTCTTAAGTCTTTGTTTATGTTATTTTGGTCTTTTAAATTTTTATTTTTACTATTCTAGTCTTTTAAATTTTTGTTTGTGTTATTTTAGTCATTTGATTTTTTTATTCTTGCTATTTTGATTTTTAAAGTTTTTATTTTGGTCTTTATAAATTTAAATACTTATTATTGTTATTTGTATTTAGGTTTGTAATATTTATTTTGTTCTTATTTCGGTCCTTTAAATTTCCTCCTTTAAGTTATTAATTTGAAGCAAATTAATTAATATTCAATAAATGAATCTTATTTTAACTTGATATTTGATTCATGATTTCCATCATTGCAACAACGTGTAAGTGACACAATACCAATTTTGGGCGTTGTGGGGTGCTAATCCTTCCCCACACGTAACCGACTCCCGAATTCGTTTTTAATCGAATCTTTGGTAAACACATACCAACTTTTGTCTTAAAAAATGATTTTTTTTAAAATTATTTTTAACAGACGTTTTAGGTATTCGACCTACCTAACCCAAAGGTTGATGGCGACTCTATCCAATTTAATTCAAAATCACTGAATTTTCATAATTAAAGTCGTAACTGTTTTTAAACAATAAATAACGTTCCCACCTAAAAACGGTTATAACAGCTTGGCGACTCCACTGGGGATTTTTAGAGAGTCAGGCTGTAAGTCGCTTACACATTGTCGTTTGGGGGAAATTATGAGTTCGAGTATTTAGTTAACTTATGATTCTTTTATTGAAGTTTGTAATTACTTCATTTTCTTATACTAACATTTTGAATTTTTTTTTCAGATCTGTCCAAGTTTTTATCAGAGTGATTTCGTTTTCCTTTTGAATCAAAGGGTTGAATGTTCCTCCTCACACACATCACGGGCATTTGCATAACATAAGCTCTACACCCGAGCTTCGAACCCTTTCTAAGTGGGGGCGAAAGCGACGCCTTCGTGAGAATTTATTCTCCGCATAGGCCTAGCAAGTAACCTTCGGAATTCATATACATTATGTTTTCGTGTGAATTTATTCTCCGCATAGACACAAGGGAATGTATCCTCTCGAATTGAACTCGTTCCGCTCGAAACCTGTAATGGGTGAGGACCGAGGGTTTGGTAGCCCAAGGGGACACCGACATCAAAGACAATTCGAGTACCCTTTTCCTCATAGAGCCGAAACCATGCATATAGTGAATCGTAGAACGATCACCATAGGTATAGTCATACTGAACCTCTGTCCGTCAGTAGGTAGCCAAATTAAATGTATACAAATGAGGAGCGTTTCTGAACCTTTTTCTTTTGCTTTAAATTTTATTGAATGAAAGCATGCGAACTAGATACCATGCGGTTAGGATTAATTTCTTGTAAATATATCTTTGTGGGTAGAAAGCATGTCTGGGTAGAATTACTATCTAATAAAAACATGGTTGGGTAGATATCATGACGGGGTAGGTATTATATTCATCTTTGAATGACATTTTTATCTGTACCGATTCTTTTATATGTACTAACCAATTTCACTTTTTTTGTTTGCGTACACTAACTTATCTCCCTTCTTTTGTTTGTGTCATTTTTTCATTATTCTCTGCATTGCATTTGCATTGTCATAACATAATACAAGAGGTGTTGATCCACAAAAACGTGTTTGTTAAACATGAATAATTTGCATTAATGGACAAAGGGGCTGTAATACAAGAGATGAAAAAATGCAGAGGACAGTCTACAGGGCGACTATGTGTCACATTCAATCTAGAAGATATGGTGCCCACAATTGAAGAGTATATCACTCTGCTGCATTATAAAGGACTCAGAATGAACCGGGTCTTCATCAAGCACAATGAAAGTCTATATTTGAAGAACTGACTGACAGAGGTCGCATGGGCAAAATGAAGGTTACTGATCTTGAGAGTCCTTGCAAAGAAAACACTGGCAAAATGATAGTTGAAATTGGAGACCATTGCTGACGAATTTAAGAAACATACAAATGAACTTCACATAGTTCCTATCAATTGAGGGCTCCAATGACGTATTCATTAGAAACAGGTTCAACAAAAAGTAAATGCCAGAGATGCAGTCATTCGAGACTTTTTGGACCAATACAAAAAGCAACTCAATATTTACACGGTTCATCTAGAGAAGCCAGAACGGTTCGACAGGTTATTCAACCGGTGACAGACGAAGGCAGAAGACTAGTTAACATGTCAGAAGCTGTCAGGATATTTTTGTGTCTTAAAAGATAAAACACTTTTGTCCCCAATAAGGATTATTTATAATAATAGGCATGTTTTCGGATCAATGCCTCGAGCATTTCATGCATTTTTGCATATATATTTCATTTTTAAGCATTTTCATAAACATGAAATTTCTTTATGGTGGATTCGATGCAGTGTTCTTAATCACGTGACTCCACATGGAAGAAAGATTTAAAAAAAAAACTGAAATCAGTATAGTTGGAGTTTGTTCAGCTGGTTGTAGGTCTGAGCCTGCCAGGGTAATCTGAGAAAAGAGTACCCATATCCTAAGGGCTACGATGTTGAAGCGGTGTACAATTACCAAATAAGAAGCTCCGTACATTCCTATGAGAACTGTGAGGTATTGAAGCACAAGATCCAAAACCTGATGGATTCAGGGGCATGGATAATCGAAGAAGGGGGCATTGCATCTACCATTTGCACTGAGAGCATTGTTTTGTTTGAACACGTTTTTGATCTTTCACGTTTGCTTAACCTTTTAAACGACTGAATTTATGTTACCTTCTATGGTGAAATAATTGAACGAATTTTAATATTTAGTTCTTCGAATATTAAATGAATTAAATATTATTTTAATTCTTCAAGAATTATAGATTTTTGACATATGACAAGATCAGACCTTTCTTATCATGTTCCAAAAAAAGAAAAAATAGAAAGAAATCCTTCGAGTTGTTACCCAGAATAATTCATGGAGATACAAAGAGTCATATCGATACCTTTGAGTCAATAAAGTCACACCATTGTCTTTTAGACGCAAAACTGACATCCTTATACCAATAAAACCTAAGATATTGAGTTGTTCACTTGAGCATGAGCCTTCCTACCAGAAGACATAACATGGGGCATCTGGCATCAACTTCCTGAAGATGAACCTAAACAATTGAGGCATGCTGGGAGCAAGAAGCAGAAAGGAGAATTACTTCGAAATAATTCTATCATGCATTAATTACATTGTTTTCATGTGAATAAAACTTAATCCTGAAAATCTATCCCTTGGGGATACCTCTTCTGCGAGGAATTTTATGTATGAGATGATAAACGACTTTGTTTCATTTATCCATATATATATATATATATATATCTGTGTATGTGTGTGTGTGTCCCTTGTCGTCCCCTTTTAAGCCTATAATATTTTTCTTCTGATTCAACCATAACCAAGGATCACCCTCCACACTGGGGGGTAAGGTGGAAAGAATCGGCTCACATGAGTGAAGATATGAATCTAAAGGAGATACCAAAAGGTGAACCAATGCCGAGTGCTAAGATCCAATCAGAACAAAAAAGGAATAAAAACAAAGGAAAAAATGAAGACAAAAAGCACACATAAAGATTCCCTCGAGTCAAATGGAGCATCAAGTCAAACTATGTTCCAAAATCACTTCACTCGAAGACCATCGAGCATCGAGAGAGACGCATACAGGCATATTCAAATTAAGCAAGACGAGATTGAAAGCATCAGAATGAATTGATCCTTGGTTCAATACCTTGAAACACTTGTTTGGGCCTATTTATCATTTTCTTTCATAACCATGAACCATGTCCTACATTACGTGCCTTAAAAAGTCCCTTCTAATCATACATAGATTTCTAAACAGAAGAGACTATCTTCATATTATCATTCCACCCATCAGGATTAATCTTTATTTGCAAAAGGTTTTTTAAAATCTTTAATGCATGATAGGGAAAAATAACAAAGGGGGGGTTCAAGACATAAATTATGAATGACGTCTTGAAACCAAAGGAGGATTCGAGTTGAAAACCTGAAAAGGCGGCTCGAATGTAAAAATTGTGCAGCTGAGGTGATCGCACAAATTCTTTGATAAGGCATTGCACAATGCTTTACCATAAGAGCTGGGAGTCGAAGAACACTTCCAATAGATGAGCATACAAGCTACCCCATCAGATCAGTGGACATCAAAGAAATAAGAAGGCCAAACCATCGACCAAACATAATAACCTGAGACTTTTTTATCATTTCCTTACCATTTCCCAAAGATAACTGTGATCTTGACACTTGTCAAATAGCTATAATTTATTAAATGATTAACAGTGTAATTAATTCTTTGATGTCCAATGAACTATAGTTTTATGATTCGTCTCAATTGTGAAACCTAAAAAGATGCAATATTTTCAAAACTTTTGATTAAACATTTTTCAAAACTCTTCTAATACATTTTCAGAACTTTTGAAAATAAAAGAAGAAGAAAAACACTTTTCAAACAAGACAATCTCTCTAGAGTGGATCTTAGTATTTGACATGCGACTCTCAGACACAAA